ATATCGGCCTCTCTTTCCAATTTTGTATCATATCTAAGTTTATTGAAGGTACACTCCATCTCACCGTTAAGGTTATTAATGAATAAGGTGAGCAAGATTGGACTCGGTATTTACTTCTAGCGTAATCTAGTAGTAACTAGCCTCCAACTGGACTCATACCACAGATGACAATGCTTTTAGCCCAGGAGTTCAGGTAGGTTTCAGACCACCTCACCATCCACATCTGAAGCTGATTCTTCATTAATTTGTCCCTGAGGTTTTTACAGTGTTGAAGGGTCTGGCTAGAAAGTTAGGTTAAAAATCTACAGCTTTCTTCTGCATCCTCCAAGCTAGTTATCTCATCATAGAAGGCCATCAGTTTGATCAAGGAAGATTTCCAGTTTGTAAATCTGTGCTGACTGTTTCACATCACCTTCATAAGTATCGCCCAGGCTGTAGATAAGTGCAGAAGGAAGCAGCCAGAGGCTTTTCTGGTGGGAGAGAGACATTAATCAGCTTGACAATAATGTGAAAAATAATACTTAAAAATGGGGATGGTAAGCAAAGAAATGCTTTCACATTTGCCAGCTGTGAGGGAAAACTGCTACTATTCGGTTGTTAGTTAAATGCTAAGTCTTGCTCTAAGAACTGTAAGCCACTTTGGTTGGTTGTTGGGTTTTTAAAAAAATTATTTTAGTTATCTCCAAGGATGTTGCTGGACAGCTGTTAAGTAACAATCAATTAATACTTGTGTATTGGAACACTACTGTAACTTTCTTACCAATTACAACGTGAGTGTGACAATCCTGGAAGAAAATTAGAAATCATAGATGATAGATGACAATAAGGAGAAAACTTTGTTGCAGAGCCGTCAGGTTCAAAAGGCAAAATTCAGAATTCTATAGCATGAATTTTAATATAAAGAAATAGTCATCATATACCTAACTGAGTAATGAGTGCCATGCTTGTGAAGTTAGTAGTTATATATTAGAAAGCACTAATTACAGAAGGGTGTTCATGGTTATTGTAGACAACCAGCTGACCATGAATTGCTTTTTCATCTCTCTAGCTGAAAGAGGTAATATGGTCTTTTCAAGAAGAAGAGAGTAAAGGTGATGTGATCACTTATTGAAATCTTGGCAAAAGCATTACTGGGATACCATTCATTGTTAAGAATTGCTAGTTCTTTTAAGAGATTGTGGAAAGAATGGTGCTATTCAGGGAACACTCTGAAGTGACTTGTGCTCTGGAAAACACATTTTGTAATAAAAACTTAAAAAACCCCACCCCAAAACAAGTGTTATAATCAAGGATGCTCTTGACTTCTCTTTTCAGGATTTATGCGAAATCTGATGTTGATGGATTGTTCAATTCGAGATGCAGTGGTTAGCTAAATAGAAAAAAATCAAACTTTTACACACACAGTACTATGGTCACTCTATCACAATTATAATAAGACACAATGTAATAATAATAATCCCAGTTTAATAGATCATTGAAAATGTTTCATCAAGAATGTGATGTAGATTATTTGTCATAAAAACAGTGCAAATTCAAGAATTTGCCACTAACCTTAAGCACGCTGAATTGCGATGTCTCTGTACTCTGAATCTCTATACTTGGTTTTACTAAAAAGATGAGGTGACATTACTCTAACTGAGGCCTGAAATTAGATAAAATCAATCCAGATATTAAGACTGGTTTTGGTGGGGTTTTTGTGTTTGTTCTTTTTGTTTGTTTTGTTTTAAGAGATGTTTTCTTTCAAATTGTGTATAGTGCTCTGTAAAAGAATTGGAAAGTGAGCTGAGTCTGGATTGTTGCTTTTTCTCCTAAAAAAAATACAAGTGCTTCCACAACCTTTTAATGGAAGAATGGCTAAAACTTTGGAAATAACATTCCAGGTTTTAATTCTTACTGATGTAGGGACAAGAGAAAAAGCCAAAAAAGCCACAAAGCAAGCTATCTAGGCTTTTCAGACCTTCTCTCAAGCTAATACTACTAGAGATAATGAGGAACAGTTGCAATAGCACACAACAGAATTCCAAAGCTATTAGGAAAGAAACCGCCCCTCTCACTTTTTTTTTTCTTCAGGCAAGAATGGACAAATATGTTCTCAGTCTCAATACTGTGATCATATGTTAAATTGCTCATAAAATTCTAAGCTAAAGAAAGTGAAAGCACTAGACAGTTTTACCAGCGGATGGAAGAATGCTTATCTGCTATTGAAGTGTAATAACATCCAGTAGCCACTTTGAGAAACTGGCTGAAATGAAACATAGCTATAAGGACTTTATGAACAATCTGTTGTAAAATTATATACCAGCTGCTAAAGGAGGTGTTTAAAGGCTCATAAAACCATATGGGCATTAGCAGTACTGATTTTTTGTCTCTGTGCATTTCATCTTTGGATGTGGCAAGTTCTGCATGTGTAGGTAAGTAAGAGATGAGAATTTCTGTATGGTATCCTAGAGTGCAGTCCAAGCCAACTTTATGTTTGCCATGAAATAATGTGTAGTGATTAACATGTTCTCTATGTTAGAATGCTGAGGTAAACAAAGAACATATTTGAGTTCTCAGTTTCTCAATCACTGTTGAGTTAGAAAGTTAATTCATTTGGGCAAAAAAAGTAAAATCTTGACTAAGCTTCATGTTTAGAAAATTATTCATTCTATTCCAAGGTGAAGAGTCCTGCTAAGAAATCAACTGGATTTTTTAATATTTCATTACTTTCTTGTCTTCATATGCTGAACTCAAGGAAGTTTGCATGTGTAAGGACAATTCAGTGTTTAAAATTTCAGGAATAGTCTGATTTGTCCATAATGATGACAAAATCAGCCTGGTAACTGGAAGGGGTAGGAAAGGGAAAAACTTTAAAGGTGTAGACATTTCTTGAAGAACCATTCTTTTTTTTTTTACTATTTTTATTTTTTTCTTTTTTCTTTTTTCTTTTTTCTTTTTTTTCTAAGAGTGTTTTCAGTGCATAGCAGAATGCTTGCTAGCTCCTGTACAAAGTAATAGGATTCATTTTGCATGATTTTAATAACGTTTTATCAACAAAAATTATTATGGTATTTACAATGACTGGCTGTTGGTAACTTAAAATACGTCTCTAATCAAATAATGCTACATCCTATGTCAGAACGTAGTGAATCAGTGAGGTTTTTTCAATGTCTTTCAGAACACATTCAGTTGTTCTTATTGTAGAAGCTGTATTTTAAGGTTCGTAACCTTCATGTTATTGTACAAAAATCTGTACTCTGGTCATACAGGTTATTTGTATATATGGGTAACGCAGGTTTTATATGTCTATGAGTAATTTTCTCCCATGAGGCTGTGCACTGTTCCTTTTGTTGTGAGGTAGAGCTGCCTAGGGGGTCATTGTGGAAGTAGATCATTGAAATGATCCATGTTAAAAATAGTCTTAAAAAGACACAGAGGAATGGCAGTGTTATAAATGGTCTTCACTGTAGAGGTCAACGGTGATGGACAATATGTAACTTTTCTCTTCATTCTTAGATTACATCTTAGGTTTATTTAAAGGGGATTTTTAGGTGTATTAAAAGAGTGCCCTTTGTTGTTTTTTTTTTTGCAAGGAATATTATGTGGAAGTCTGCACAAAGGGCTGTGGCAGGGAATAATGTTCATTTCTAGTGCAGAAGCCTGAGAAAAGTAAGAATTGTGTAGAGAGACAGTTAGACAAATGACAAAACCACAGCCTGAATTTGGGGAAATAAAGCTTCTGCAGCACAAGTTGTTAAAAGGAAAGAGCAAACAAAGGCACGCCTCAAGGCCAACAGAACCACCTGGATGTCCAGAGATCATGAGGAATAGTGTGCTGCGAGACATAAGATGACTGAAATCAGGGTTGGAAGTAAAGACCTCTGTGGAAGGAGCCATTAGAGTGGAGAAGAGTCATCTATAGATGTTATTACTCCTGTTCTTTTTAGCCTGATCACTCTGTTTTTCACGTTTAATAGAAGTGGTCTAATTAATTAAAACAAAACCATCTTTCCAGAATTGGAGAGTTTGAATGTCTCTTTCTGGTCTTCTTTAAAAGTTCCCTCGTAGGAGAAGAACATCTAAGCTCTGGCCAGTCAGAGTCAATATGTAAGGTGATTATTGTTTTCAGAAGGTTGTGGTTTACTAGTTATACTTTTAACAGTGAGGAAGGAGGAAAATCTGATTCTCTCTTTCAACTAGGTACACATACAAATTTAACTGTAAGTTTCCGAAGATGACATTAGGTCTATAACTATGCAATTTTTCTGCATATTAACGTCAAGGTTGTATTTGTGTGGTAGGGTAAATGTATGACAGAATTTCAGCAGCTATTAAGTAAGATGAAATCAGAACTTAGCATGTGCCTTTCATCTCTTAATGTTACTATGAAAAACCTAGTAAAAGTGTTTGATGAAAATGTTACAACAATGAAAACATTTAAAATATCATTATTGTAATGTAATGGTGGTATTGTAATAACATGAAATTATTTTAGAAGTTGCCTATGTTAAGGAAGTAGGGAAGTGATAATTAGTAGACTGCAGGAGTATATAGAAATGTTCAAAATTAGTAGTGTCTTTTATCTTATTCTTGCAAAGCATAATTTCCAAAATTATGGATGAAGTTCACCATTTAGGCCTTTTTATACTCTGATTCGTAATGAATTTTTTAAAAAAGACTAAAAGCTGTATGAAGTGTATTCCATATTAATGATAGCAAACTTCTCTTTATTCTCTTTTCAGAAGGGAATAAGTGACATAGCTATAAATATGGACTTACCTTTTTGTAAAAGCTTGTGTGAATGCCCTGTATAATGCCATTCGTGAATTTCCACGAGCTACCTTTGTAAAATGTTTTTTTAGGAAGTCTAGAATTTCTTTTCACAATGCTTTCTATTTTAAATATAAGTAGAGACATCTATGAGCTTTCTGCATTTTGTGACTTTATGATAGTTGTCACCAGAAAGCTGGAAACCTGTGCTAAACTTTGTAAAAATCATTGTCTTTTGTCAATTTGACAAATGAAAATAAATCCACAACTCAGATGATTAAAACTTCATAGATCACCAGCCTAACTAAATAAGAAATCTTGAAAAAGAAATAATTCCTCTACACAGTAATTACCTTGAATCCAAATTTGTCTGTCATACCAACTCTATTGTTCTTCAAACCTCATAAAATTGCAAAGCATCTCAGATTTATACTGTGATGGATTTTACTTTACAACTTAAATCAGATGCGTTATTTTAAATTATGATGAATTAGGAAAATGAGGGGAAAGCCTGACAGATACAATATTTACCATCTTGAATTTTTGTAAAGAAATAAAATACTGATTTTTAAAATGTAGTTTGGAAACAAGTAGGTGGTGAAGGTCAGTAGCCTCCTCCAAAGAAATAATGGGGAGAGAAAATTTAAAGGAAATTAAGTTCACTGTTCCAGGTACTAATTTCTTTTCTTTCTCATGGCAATTTAAAGTAATATTTGGACCTTTTTATTATACAGTAATTCCCCTTCTCCCAGTTTCATTCATAATTCTTTCTTTTCAGTTTCCGCACTAGCAAAGGCGTTGGGTATTCTGCTCATTTTGTTGGCAACTGCTTAATAGTGACGTCATTGAAGTCAAAAGGCAAAGGTTTCCAGCACTGTGTAAAGTATGACTTTCAGCCACGTAAGGTAAGCAAAGTGGTATTTATAATAGAGCATAACATTGAAAACGTGACAAAGTTCTTCTTGGAAGAAGAGCTAAAATCTCTTCAGTGCCATGGGGTTACTAATCTCTTATTTATGAGTAGCTTCTCTGGTGGTCATGCAAAGTTTTATGTGAGCTACAAAGCAGAATCAATTCAAGAAAAATGTAATAAAGTAACACTTCTATAATGTCAGCTTGTTTGTATATGAGTAGCTTCTCTGGTGGTCATGCAAAGTTTTATGTGAGCTACAAAGCAGAATCAATTCAAGAAAAAAGTAACACTTCTATAATGTCAGATTGTTTGTAAAAGTACTGCTGTATTAGCTTCAGATTGAGAAGAATTCTGAGTATTTGTGAAATGGTTGTATTTTATTTTTAAAAGGTCGTCATTCTATTTCTGAACATTCTGTACTTGATAACTTTGCTGGCAGTGACTGGAACAATATTGCTGGCAATGCTAGAGCTTCATCTGTTACTGGGAGTATAAGCCTCTGAACTTTCTTCTTTGTCAGTGATGTTTCTGGATTTCTCATTTTTCAGCATAAATCTTGATTATTTCTCTAGATCGTATTAGTGTTCATTTCTGCTGTATGCCTAGTAGTCCTAGGAGAACAATGATTCTGCTGGCTTCAATATTTCAGTTAGTTGACTGAAGCACTGACTATTCCATACAAGAAGCGTATGTGTTTGTCACTGACAGCATCCTTGTATATATTTTGCTGTGAAGCTCATTTCTTTTTTTATGGCCTTAGAATTTGTATATTGAATTTCAGTGCTTGTTTTGTTTTGAGAAACCAATTTTTAGGGAGTGAATGCCATTGTTCACTCATCGGCTTCATGTTCTGCTATTTTTCTTGGTATGTATTTGTGATTCAAAATCACTGATTCTAATTCTGTCATGTAGCTTTGAGGTAATTTGTATTTTTTTAGTACATAGTGATGTCTTTTTCTAGCATATTACTCAGGAATGCATAAAGCCATATAAACACGTATCTGCTGATACAATAATTCATCTGAAATGAATTATTTCTGGATTGCAAATGTTATTTAATTGTGTAGCCAAAAAGCAATTTTGATACCAGTTCACTTTTCTTGTAAAGAAGCATGTTGCATGCTACTGATAAACATTCAATCTAGGAACAAATAGAATTGTTACCTTTTGGATTATGTTACTGATAAGTAGCTTTGGGGATCTAGCTCATCATTTTTTTACTTGTTAGTTAAGAAGCAGTATTTCATGTTTTAGCAAGATATTCTAGGGATAATTTTTATTATGAATAACTAGTTTCCTTCATGCCAGCCCTGGAAAATTTTTTATTCTTGCTATTCTACTTAAAATAGTTAATTCTGAAATACTAGTACATGTATATCTCTTTATATGAATATCAATTTCAAATCATAATCTGCTAAAGTACGTCCAAATATAACTTCCATGCCAGTTTTATATTTCTCAAAGATTGTACTTCATACAGTTTGGATTTTATGTCAGATTTAGAAAGTATTTTAAATAAATCTTCCAGAATATATTTGCAGGTGATTTCGTATGGTATATTTTTTCCATTAATAACCTATGTGTACAGGTATATGGAAAGGTACATAGCACATAAAGGAGGAGAGAAAGCCTGTCAAATACTAATCCTGACTATAACAAGTCAAAACATATCCTGTTTAATATGTACTTTCATTTTTTTCATGTTATTTAGGTATTAGATTGGTTCCACTGTGCAAGCATTGAATGTATAGATATATTTTCAAAAACCATGTACCCATTTATAAAAAACTTACTGTCCAAATGCTAACTTGAGAAGTGTGATTTTTGTCATCAGATACATTATTTTCTATTTGCTTACAGATGTAGACATTTCAGAAATAGCTTTTAGAATCATAGAATCATATCAGCTGAAAGAGACCTAGAAGATCATCGAGTCCAGCCTTTGTCCCAGCCCTATCAACTCACTAAATGATGCCCACCAACACAACATCCACCCATCTCTTAAACACCTCCAGGGACGGTGACTCAACCACCTCCCTGGGCAGCCTGTTCCAATGGCTGACAACCCTTTCCGTAAAGAAATTCTTCCTAATATCCAACCTGAACCTCCCCTGGTGCAATTTAAATCCATTTCCCCTTGTCCTATCGCTCCCCACGAGGGAGAACAGACTAACCCCCGCCTCTCTACAACCTCCCTTCAGGTAGCTGCAGAGAGTGATGAGGTCTCCCCTCAATCTCCTCTTCTTTTGCCAGAAGCATCATCCTCATTAAGCTTCTGAATAACCTTTCTTAAAAAAAAAAGTTGAATCACATTAAAAATTATACATTCAAGTGACTTGGTCAAATGCTTTATGTAGGAAACTCGGGAAGATACTATGTTCATGTGAAGATCTTGCCACTGTTAACTATGTCATATGACACCACAAAATAATATGAATCTTAGTTTAAAACTTGAAGATGTATTAAGTGATTACTTTAGGTCTTAACTGGTGTATTTTAACAACACTATAAAAGCAAGTATTTATAAAAATACATAGAAAAATTTAGTCATCATATCTGCAAATAGGAAATGTGGATGTATTATAATAGACTGACCTCTCAACAGAGCTAAACTAGCTTTGGCAGTGGAATGTTTAATATGCCTGTACTGCTTTTTGGGATGCCAAAATGAAATTTTTTGTATTAGTAACCCCCAGTAATTTTCACCCCCCTGAGTTACAACCTCAGCATCAATCCTTGTAAACATGTGAAAAGGAAAGCACTGTAATCAAGAGCAAACAGCTTTTTTTTGATATTTCTAATCCCGAACACCTTTCCTAGTTGTAGTATAGACTGAAATGAGTTCCACATTTTGGAAATAATTAGTGTGTGATGCCTCATCTCTCTATACTGTGTTATGGAGTAGGAATATGACTTACTCAGCAGGGGGTGATTAAGCTTGAAAAATTTCATCAGTTTAAACAATTGACAGACTATTAAGTGTCTTTGAGTACTACCTGAGGAAGTCCTTGTTGGAGCAGAGAGGCATGGTCTTGGGACATTTTTGAGAAAACAATACAGGGAAGGAGACTGTAGAATGAACTGGAAAAAAAAGAAGTGGGGGAAATTCTTCAACTGAAACCTGAAGCAAAATTGTGTGTGTAATTATACAACTTAATTTGGTTATTGTGTAGTAGTAAAGTTCTGAAAACTGTGTTTGCAGATACAGAATTGGAGAAAAATCAATAGCACGTCTGTACAACATCAGCGAAGAACATTCACTTAAGTGAGACACAGGCAGTAGGAAGTTGAGCCATACATATATCTGTGCTTCTACACATCTAAAAATACAAAAGAGAAACAGGAACATCTATTTCAAATAAGGTTATTGACAGAATGGATGTATCAGAAGCTTTGTTGACTGTCAATGGGCACTCATTTCAAATTTCACTTCTAGTTATGAGTGACAGGGAGGCAGGTCTTGGTAATAGATGAGAGATGCCCTGTAGTAAAGACTTAACCTAATCAGATAAAGTTCATTGTAACAATAAATAACAGAGTTTCTGTGCACTGAAAAGAAATAAGTAAGAAAACCATACTATCCAGATTAAATTGTTAGCCTCATTATAGGATGATTATAGCAAATCTGATGAACTGGGCAAGATCAGAAGGCATACTCATAAAGAAGCTTATATTACTTTGCTATAAACTGAATGGCATCTCACTTGGATGAAAGTTCAAACTTTTAAATACTAGAAGCATTTGGATTTATTTCTCTTTGAAAATTTTAGAGAGCTCAGATGTGGACTGCTGCTTGACTATCTTGAAAAATGCCAAATATGCTTGGATATGCAGGATTTACTGTTTTAAATTTTAAAGAAATTTCAAAAAACTACCTTCACTTCTTTAAAAAAAACAGAGAGAGAAGAGAAGTGGAGCAGTTGAAAGATGAAGGTGTTTGATAGTGCTAGAGATATTGCTTAAATGCAGTTCAAAAAATCTAATAGGAAGTATAAAAGCTCCTCACAATACACCTGAGCACAGATAAATTGCAAAGTAGAGACTGTTGTAAGTGAAAAGAAGTTGTTTAGAAAAGGGAAGTGGTATCAAAATGAAGAACATGTAGAAAACTGAGCTATAGGAAATTATATGTAAAATGATACAAGAATTTAATTTTTTTTTCCAGTCCATAGGGGCAGTTAGATGACTAAGACTTAACAGGAGCCCCTGAAGAATATAGTGTCGTAAGAAAAAAACTAAATTAATTAATTGCATCATTGTTTACTACAAGATGAGCCAATGGGGATGAGTCAGAGGAAGTGTCTCTTATTGAAATGTCAGTAGATGTATAGAAATCAATGTAAGAGATAATAATACATTTCCAGGATGTTACAGTAGGCACCACCAAGTTCCAAATAAATTTGATTATGGAATTTGCCAAAGTTTTAACTGTAATATATAATCAATTTTGTAAACCAAATGGATGATAGAAAATCACACAAATTTCAGAAGAAGGCTTTGCTGATATTTAGAATTACATATCATCATGCCTGATATCGTAACCATCAAAGTGGCGTAGAAGCTACAAAAATGGAAAGAAAAGACTATAAAACATGTAGATAAACATATCGGGAACAAAGCAATGCAATATTGCACTGGAAGTCTTGTCCCCCAATTCTGTTGAATTATTTGATTATTGTGCATAAGAACAGGTTTGTGAGCCAGTTGATACATGCTGTATGGATTCCCCCAAAACTTTAGGCATTAACTCTGAAAGACTTGAAAATTATGCTATCATGTGATAAGTGAATTAGGTATTTGTTAAAATACAATGATGGAAGGATATGAATCAAGTTCAGGAATCACTCTAAGGACTCTTATTTTCCTGTAGATAAGAATGCATTATGAACTTAACTTGATGGAATTTGTCATCCTCTATTTTAGGAACTAGCTTTGAAAACCTACATTACTCATTTTATCTAGATAATACTAGTGAACACATATGACACAAAGAGTAAACTATTTTTTAATATTTGAATACTTCCCTGGCTAAAAAGAACATACAGTTTAAGATTTAAATTGAGTTAATTCAAGTGCAGGAGTCAAAACTGGATTACTGGATTACTTATGATAATGAGCTCAGATAGACTGTCTGAATACACATATATTCAAATAAAGAGAAATTCAGGTTTTTTTTAGAGCTTGCCTTGCAGGTCAGAGTAGCAGACACAGATAGTGCTCTGACATAGCATCAACGCCAAAGCTTAAAAAAAGTTATGTGGAAGAAATGAGACTTTGACTAAAAGAAGCTGCATATATGTGAATGAGAGTTATTATGGGAAAAAATATTATAAGAAATAGATTGTGTAATTTTCCTAAAGTTTGACATGGACACCAAAGCTCTCCCAAGACAGCATTGCTCATTTTAGTACCTTATAGGCTCTGTGGACAGCATTTCAGCAACAGTAATGAAGTATTTATTGCCAAATTAGTCATCTGTTAAGCTTAAACTACACACAGAGATGGTCTTACAACCTGGTATATTTTCAGAAATGCTCTTCAAGCACCATAAAACAAAAATCACAGATAAAAGATAAATGAATAAAACTTGGGTCTTAAGGTTGTCAGCTGATTTCTGCTACAAAACCATGAGAACTGGAAATATGAGTAAACAATTATAAAAGGTACAACTTTGAATAGTGCTATTGCAAAAAAAGCCTGAGGTTGGGCTACAAGTATTTAAAATCATCATCACTTTATGAAGGTTATTGATAAAATGACTTTTGAAGGAAAGAGGTCAAGGGAACCCTAACCATTCTGTCATTCTATCACAGTATTTTCTTCTGAGAGTTTTATGTTAGGTGATGTGGAAGCTTTGGAAAAGAAGTGCTGATGAAAGCAGAACTCTAGTCCTGTGGTTTGTACTTAGCTTCTGATTAGCAGAGCTAATTAGCTAATTAGTTAAGCTTCTAGACTTTGAGTTGTTGAATTTATGTTGAATGTTTCTTTTAAGTTCGAATTTGCCTACAAAATGGGAAACAATGTTTGCTTATTGTATTGTCGGTTTGTTTTTTGATTTTTTTGGGCGGGAGGAGAGGGGGAAGTGGTCCTCAAAAACTGCTTTGATCATGATTGCTTGGAAAAAATCCCCCAAAATTAGACTGACCACATGTGACTTCAGAAGCTGAAGCTGTAGCAGTACGTCCTTAATCTAATATTGACTAATGAATCTGTTTACTTGGATACGCAAGAAGTGAGATACTCTGACATACTGTTGTATGAATAGTAGGGGGTTTTCCCCCTTCTGTCAACTACAGGTTTTAAGAAGAGAAACATGAAAATATATTTTTAAAGACCTGGAACTAGATGTGGAAAATACATGCATTCTAATATTATAGATATTATATATAGATATTATAGATATGTAACAGAATACAACTCAGTTTGAGGACTACTGCAATGATTCATGTTAAAGTACATTTTAATATATTTAAAAATACTTTTAAAAATTGTATTCAGTGCTATGTCTGATTTAAAAATCAACATGTGCAAACTTTTTGCTTTTATTTTCTCCGATAGAGAGAGGCAGATTTTTATATAAGTAGGCTCTGTATCTACTTACACCAGCTCAGGGAGAGAGTCACCAAGTTACTTATTAAAATAATGCCCTGAGGGATGCAGAAGTTCTTTGCTTTGAAAAAAGAGACTTTGCTGAACACAGAAATCAAAAGATAGTAATTGAAACGGATACCAAGAAAGGGAAGAGAAGTAAATTCTAAATTACTATTCCGAATTTAATTAAAATATAAAAAGTTTTTTTCAAGGCAGATGAGCTGACTTTTTCACAGAATCAGTAAGACTGTAAGGGATGTGTTGAGACAGTCTAGTCTCATAGAATCATAGAATAGTTTCAGCTGGAAGAGACCTAGAAGATCATCGAGTCCAGCCTTTGTCCCAGCCCTATCAACCTACTAAACTATGTTCCCCAATGCAACATCCATCCGTCTGTTAAACACCTCCAGGGACGGTGACTCAACCACCTCCCTGGGCAGCCTGTTCCAATGGCTGACAACCCTCTCAGTAAAGAAATTCTTCCTAATATCTAACTTTTACCTCCCCTGGTGCAATTTAAATCCATTTCCCCTTGTCCTATCACTCTCCACTAGGTAGAACAGACTAACCTCCACCTCTCTACAACCTCCCTTCAGGTAGCTGCAGAGAGCGATGAGGTGTCCCCTCAATCTCCTCTTCTCTAGACTAAACAGCTCCAGACCCCTCAGCCTTTCCTCATACGACTTGTGTTCTACGTCCCTTACTTCCCCTGTTCCAAGAAGGGACACGTAGATCAAGTTTCTCTGGCTGTTGTCCAGTCAGTTTTTTAATCTCTCCAAGCAAGGAGTCTCCACAGTTTCTCTGAGCAACCTTTCCTGTATTTCAGTTTGTGCCCATTGCTTCTTGTCCTGTCACTTGATACTAGTGATAAGTCTCTGGCTCCATCTTCTTTACCCCCTGCCCGTCAAGTAGTTAGTTATACACATGGATAAGATCCCCCGAGACTTCTCTTCTCTAAACAGACCCACCTCTCAGCCTCTTCTCATGTGCCAGAGGCTTCAATCACCTAATTATCTTGGTGGCCCTTTCTAGACTTTCTCTAGTATATCATTTTCCATCTGCTTTGTATATATTTTGGAATAATACAGACATCCATTATAGTTAAGTATGGGTTGATTTGCAGATCTTAAAGACTAAATTACCATTCCTAGTCTTAAATGAGTTGAACAGTTTAGTTTTAAAGGAAACTTAAGGTTTTCTTCTTGAGCTCATCATGGACACAATGATTCCTGTGAAACCGATGATTTGAAAAATCACTATAGTTGTACTTGGAAACATTTTACTGTGATGCTTTCTTTATTTGATTATATAAGGCATTTTTAATGATATGACAGTTGTCCAAAAATTCATGGAATGGTAAAGAGTATAGGAAGAAAATCACTTGAAGCAATCATGATGACATTGTTAACTGGACTGTAAAATTTGCTGTTGTATTTTTTTTTCCTTTTATTTAATAATTTCTGAACATAAAGCACTATTGAAAAGGCAGAGATACGTGACATGAATTGTTGAGGTAATTGCACATAGAACTGTATTTGTTATCAAAACTCATTTGTGTTTTGTGTTAGAGAGTACAGTGTTTATATTAAATTACACATGCAGGAATGGAAGTGTATTCAACTTTTTAATTGTATATATGCATTTTTAGCATCACCATAAAGTGATGCAGGTAGGTACATCGTTACATTTAGGCACGGTTCTGTGGATGGGACTTGAAGTTCCAATGACCGATTTATAATTTTATGAGTTTACAGGGATTCATCTGTTTGTGTAACTTTACAAGCTTGGTCACTTATTTTTTATGCCATTCATTAACTTCATATTTCGTAGCACAAAACCTGACATTTTATACTGCTTTCTCATATCTTTCCAGTGGTACATGATAAGCATTGTACACATCTATAATCGATGGAGAAATAGTGAAATAAGATGTTACGTGAATGGTCAGCTGGTATCCTACGGTGACATGGCCTGGCATGTTAACACAAATGATGTAAGATTTTACTTTTTTCCTTTCTTATAGCTTTTCATTTAAAAATAAATTGGAAAAGAAAAGAAGTACTATATTTCTCTGGATATTTGCAAATTTTCCACCTCTTTAAAAAAATTCTCATTTAGTCTGTCTTCCATAGCTAAGTACGTAATAAAATGTAATGTTATTGATTTTATATAGTAATATTTTTTTAGAATATTGGGGGTTTTTTGGCTATGTTTTGCGTAGTTATTTTAATCAAAATTTCAGAGATTTTATTTGGAGGGACTATTATAGCTAATGTTTTAAATATATGATACTGTGTAGATGACACTGATAAAAATGGATTAATACTTAACTTTTTCCACAGGAAAATGTGGTAGAGTTATAGATTTAGCGTGAGAAAAGTCCCTATGAAAAGCTTACTAATCCTGCAAAATGACAATCCATACTGCCAAATATACGCAAAAGTCATTTTTATATCACATTGAGTTCTGTGTTGGATTCAGGAGGAGATATTTGTTAATGGTTAAAAGATTTCTATGTTTTTGTATTATTGAGCATTATATTTTAAGTAGACTTTTTAATTGCCGTGGAACTGAGTTGCCTGAACTCTGATCTGAGTCATTTTATTTTAAGCAGTGTCTAAGTATACAATAATAATCTACTTTGGAAGGTTTGAGATACACCTGATGATGCAGAAAACTGGCACTTTTTGGATAGGAAGAGCAGGCAAAGTGATTCTCTTGTGCTTTGCCATCAGCTGAAGCTGTGCTAGACTTTTGGAGGTGCTTGCTTCATCAGATTATTACATATTTCTTATTTGTCCTTTAAAGTATAATTCTCTGTTGTTTCTGACTGCCTGTATAGGATAAGGAAGCTCTTCTGTACTTACAGAAATTAACTGTCTTTCACTAAATTCTAGGAAAGCTGGATTTGAAAAGGAAGGGTTTAGATATTAGATGTTGATTAAAGCAGGAGGCGTCTGCTTGCCCAAGCTTCTGATCATCATCCTTTGTTTTCTTGCTAGCATTTCTACTTTTAAGAAAAGGCAAGCCTTTCCATTTTTACAGAGCATGGTTTGTCCTTGGTAATCTAAAGATTTTTGCGATAGGTGAAAATGTGATGATTGAAAAGCCAGCTGAGGTCTCAGAAGATCTGGGCTGAGTTACTGGTTATATGGTGTGGGGATCTGTAATCCTTAATGATAGATGTGTAGCAGGAAGAGTGGCTCCTTCTATTCATGTTTTCTTCACAGTATTCCTTTCTACTTTCTCACAGAACAGAAGTTCAATCTTTTCTTAAGGTGGGAGTGGTTTGCCAAGTTTTGATATAAGTCTTTTAAGTTTCTTCTACGTTTTTACTTTGTCTGCTGGAGAATAGACTTATGAAAGACACGAGTTATCATTAGCTTTCTATTTTTTTGATAACTATCTTATATCAGAAATAAGAAATAGGATAGAAAGTAGGAAAAATTCGGGAAAGATATATGAATACAACTGTGTGGAAGGCATAAAAAAGAATATAGGGGAATACATTGGTGAACTCCTTAACACTGTTATGCATTAGTTAGGAAGAGAAGCTTTTGTTTTCATTGTATTAGAATTTTTGTTTCATGTGAAGGTTGAGTTGTTAAAAGTATTCACTTGAAATGTCTTGAGTGATAATCTGCCTTGTTAACTTCTACCTTCATACCCTTCCACTTGGGTGAAACTTTAGTTTCATGCAAGAAGACAAGAAAATACCATACCATAATAGCTTTGGGGGGGAAAAAAAATGCAAGTCAGCCAATCTTTCTTCTTTCTTTTCATTAGAAGTTGTGCATATCTATTTGTGTAGATTTTACCAATAATTTTAACAGTACTGGTACTAATTTTAACAGACTGAAAATAGAGAGGGACAGGAGTTGTGTATTTTTGACTAAGTGCATCTTAGTCTTTCTAGTCTTCTCTTGAGATGTAGTGTTTAAAACACTAAATATAATGAAGGCAAGATTTATCAGTTACTCACTGTGTTAAACTCACCACTGAACAAAATGCATTATGATTAAATATCTTTTAGACTGATAAGACATTCATTAGATTTGAATTATCGAGTTTAAGATTAGGGGACTGAGTTGAATTTATAGGGTTTTAAAACATAGGTTTTTTCCTTGGTAGAGACTGTGTATGCATTTTGGGTTTTTTTCTCAGATTAATCTTTCATTGCAATTCTCTTATATTTTATGCCATTTTTTCAATATCTACTGTTTACCTCTTGCATCCGAACAAGAACTGAGTTTTATCTCACTCTACAATTCTTGTGTGTACCCTGGAAGACACTGAAGTAAAGATGCAGGTGACAAAAAGGGTAAAAGCTTTAAAAATATGGTGATTTTTTAAATTTTTAATGATTTTTTTCTTGCATTATGTCTAATTCATTCTTATTTGTACCAAGACATGAAGTCACTGCATCCTTAACTGTTTCTGTAATATGGGCAGCAATATATAGCATATTACCTATGGCATATTAGTCATTAAGGCTTCATATCTGTATTCTTCACGAATGTGTGTTGTCTTAATAAACATGTTTTTTTCTAGGGGTTTGCAAAATATGCCATTTATGCAAAACTCTGAATCACTCAAACACTAAGATTTTTCATTTTATTGAAGGTACCTCCCAATATTAAAAATGCTGCACAGTGTTGAGGCCAAATGTTAGAGGGAAGGTATGAGCGTGGATGGAAAAAGGGAATACACTATAAACTTCTTTGTGTAGCTCTTTTAGCTGTGAATGCTACGGGTACAATTTCCATAGAGCCATTTTTGGCTCCAAATTAATAACTACTATTTAATGAAATATAAAAACGATAGCAATGCTGATGTTGATTGTGTTAGGGTTCTACACAAGATGCAGTAGCTAGTGGTAAGTAATTCATTAAGTTTCTATTCCAGAAAAATATAGCTGGAGATTATGACAAAAACATGAAGTGAAATGCATAGCAGGGTTTAACATAATCACATGTGTAATTGTGGGCTGGTCAGTAGTCATGATCAGCTCTGTATGCTTTATGGAGATAATTATTTTTAAGGGATCGAATACACTTGGAGATGGAAGATAAATTGGAAGAGTTTGACTACTACAGCTGTTAGGAATTTTCCCCAGTTATGGGAAGTAACACAAGAGCATAAAACTTCAAGCTGTAGAATATGGAGATACTGCGGTTTGGTGGAAGATTTTTGTTCATATACCTGGATGAAGATGAACTTGATGATGTCCTGACATCTTTCACATCACTTTACATTTCCATTGTTCATACTAAATAAAGTACATGGGAGCCAAGGAAGCCGAGAGAATAGCCTCACAAAGATTCTTCTTCTTCGTCTTGTTGTCCACTTGTCCTGCGTCTTGTTTTCCAGTTTCCCAGATCTTTATTCTAGTGAGATAAATTCTAAACTTTGTTTCCTCTGAAAGCCTTTTTTCTTGGACGCACCAGAAAAACTTAAAGTAATTCTTGCAAATGAATAGACGGAGACCTGCAGAAGGTCTTTGTGCAGAGGGATACTTGTTGGAAGGAGGAATGGAAAATAACAGCCCTTGTGACTGTGAAAGAACATGGAAGAGGGGATTGAGGACAAACCAAATCATTATAGGCTGTAGTCATAGAGGAAGACTGTGCACCAGTTGCAAAACAGAAATAATCATATTTCTAGGGTTTTTTTCTCCTAGTGGTGTTTAGTTCTGTTAGCACAACAGTGAAAGAAAAGTGCATTTCAGCACGTGCTTTTGTGTATTAGCGGGAGTTCTACTTATAATTAGAAGGAACTTCAAGGAACTTCAAGGTTTTCATATTTACTAGAAGGCAATAGGAAAGGTTGTTTAGTATTTGGATGTACTGTTCTAATTGTCTCTGTGTAATGTTGAACAGTTAATAAAAATCAAATTCTAGCAGCCAGTCATAACAGTATTGTAATACTGACCTGTAAAACAGTTCATGCTGCTATACTCAAAATGAAGTTGTTCACTATAGGTACTGAAGTAGTGATTGATTGATTGATTTTCTTAATTACAATCTGCCTTTACTTTTTGGCTGTACATGAGTTTTATTTTGTTGTGTAGTTTGTGCAACTAAACTTCATTAACATTGCCTCTTTCTGATACAGAGCTATGATAAATGTTTTCTTGGCTCTTCGGAGACTGCTGATGCTAATAGAGTGTTCTGTGGCCAGCTTGGAGCAGTGTATGTGTTCACTGAAGCACTCAACCCAGCACAGATTTTTGCAATACATCAGTTAGGACCTGGATATAAGGTAATAGTGGATTTAAAAAATGTAAAACTGGAAAAAGAAAGTAGCTGATAGATACAGTTGGAAGATATGTGTGCATGTATTTATTCCTCTAAGGATCATGTAGAGCTATGTGAATTGTTTTCAGAAAAAGAGGAGTATTTCTTCAAGTATCCTAACTAAGCTTAATTGCCACCAGCATTTTCAAAGATGCAAGTTGTTTCTTTAAAGCATGGCTGAAACATGTTTGTATGTGAGATTTATGACTTTGGGTCATGATCAGATTAAAGCAATTTTGTATTTGGTGTACTTAATACCAGGGGCATTACTTTCTTCTCTACTATTTGTGTTTAAAACCTGACTTAAGGCAAATTACCATTCAACAAGAGATAATAAACCAGTTCTGTTCAAATGCACATTTTCAAACAGTTCTGCTGAAGTAGAAGTTGAGCTTTTTGCTCCTATGTTTTTCAGTGACATTTGGGAGACAGTTTGGACAAATTATGGTGCGTGTGTAAACTTGGATCTCTAGTACGAGTAATCAGTTATGTCTTGGAATGGCTGTGTATAGTATTATTTCATCAAGAAAAACAACTCACATACTTTGCAGAAGTCTGCAGAAACTGCCTAGTGGAGAAGGCTTGAGAATTAATCTAACCCAAGTTTGAATATCTGCCATCAATTATTCCCAAATTTTCTTTTTCTGATTTGTTAATTTTCAGTCTCATCTGAAGTAGACTTTTGGGTTTTTTATTGTTTTTTTATTGTATGTCATATACTCTGCAAATAAAAACTTGTAAAACTAGTAAGTAAAAATCAGCATTTATATTCTAATGATATTAATGTAGTGTGCTGAAAATGATGGCACTAAACCATTTGATGACAGCTAACATGACAGTGATAGTTGAAAATATATTTTATGGTATGTATGTAGTGTGACTAGCCAAGTACATGTCAAGGTTACCTGGAAAAGAGGAAGTCTGTTGCATACTGTTGATGGTTAAAACCTGCCTTAAAACTAAAAGTATTCAATCAGTCAAGAGAAGTGTATCAACTGTGCAAGCAAGGAGTACTTTATTCCAAACTTAATACCATATTTTATTTGAACAAACATTTTTGCAAATGATTTTTCATCATACAAAAGAAAGAAAAGTAATCCTATACTACTTAATAATAAATGTAGGAAATCTTTATAAATTTATAAAGTTCTGAGATTTGCAGCTACATACTGTAGCAATATTAAATAATTTGTTTCCAGAAGTGAAAATCATTTGTTTTGTGAGTATTGAAGGAGTTCATAAGGCATACACGCTTTCACGCTAAATGTCATCTCCAGAAGTTATTGCACTAACCCTATTACACTGTTTCGAGATTACTTTGTTTGATTCATAGGCTTCCCTTAAACTACATTTCTTCACACTTGTGGCTTCTTACTGATTTTGTGTAGTGTCAGTTAGATTAAATTAATACTTTGGGGATATTCTTCTTTGATATATCATGGGTTTAGGTTTAGGTTGTATTCCCAGCAGAGTTAAAGCCTCCTTCCTCTCTAAAGTAGTTTCTGAAAGTATATTTTACTAATAGCTGTTTAAAAGAGCAGGTTCCTAGAGCAGGTCGCTAGAAATAATGCTATTTCTGTCTTTAACTTCCAAACTTCCAAAATGAAAAAAAGAACAGAACCCTTTTTCTCACTTCCTTCCAACCCAAGATCTACGCACAACCAATACCAAGAACCACATCCTGTAATTTAGACATCTCAGGGCGCTGACTGTGTGCCTGTTTCATGTCTCAGTTATGTTGATTTCTGTAAATTCTTTCAGGTTCTGTGTACACACAAATTTCCATCATTTCAGAACACTTCAGTATGGTATATCATAGTCCAAGGGAGCCTCAGTTGACACGTAGCTCAAATTGGTGCAGTCAGAGATCATATCCTTGCTCTTATCTAGCTTGTTGATGCAAACTGGCCTTTCAGAAACATAAGCAGTTCACACGTCCTGTTCGTTCTAATGGTTGGTACTGCTATACAACTGGGAGAATCAACTGTTCAACTTTTCAAAAAAAGCAACTATTCTAGATGCATTGTGAACTCGGATTGTGCCAAAGCTTTTCTCCTCAAGGAGGGTTATTCAAAATACTTGAGAATTTTTGGGAAGTGTCTTCATACAGGTGTTTTGTCTTTCCTACGACTGTCTGTGGTAGTTCCTTTGATTTTCAGTTCTTACTTTAGTCCATTATTTCCATGATTCTGATTATTGTGGAACATTTTAACATAGAAACAGTTCATAATGCTTCAAAGCTGGCCTTGGTCAACATGTCCTTCTGAATATATTTAGTTGTAACCAGCACGCCTTAATATTAAAAAATATGGATTAATAAAATAGATAGTTTACTTTGAAATACTAAATTTTCAATTGTAGGAAAAGACCTACTTTTTTTTGAACAACAAATGTTACATTGATTGTGTGAGTTGTGATATTGAAAAGCTGCCACACAGTAACTACTGAACAAAAGTGACACATAATCAGACTTTTAAGATGGAGGAGAGGAAAATACCCTGTTATTAGAACTACGAAAGTTGCTTCTTTCCTGCGAAGTCTTCCTGAATTCATCCATAAAGTATCTTCAAATTTTTAATTATCTTTAGTAGAAACATAGTAGAATTCAATACTTGCATTCCCAGGGTTTATCCATAACAAAGCCTGCTCATTCTGAGTCTTGCATTTGCTGAACAGGACTTTTAGCTACTATGGTGACACATTCTGTTGCTAGAGCTTGCAGAAAGAAAAAAGGAAATGAGAGCAGGATCCTTGCTCTCACTGTGGTTTTTTTGCTACCCATCGTACAGACAGCAAAGAAGAGAGAGAAACGGACCTCAGCTGAGATCCTGAGGATCTTATAAACATAGAATAGAGGAGCAAGGAAGGTAATGTGAGTTTGTTCTCGATCAGTGCTGCAATCTTTTTGTCATGTGCAAAGCTTAGAGTAAAAATGCATTCATGAATGCATGTAGAAACATACAGAAAATACCCTTGAAAATTCCCATTTGCTTAAGCCAATTATATAGCACAAGATAATTTTTTTAATGTATGATTGCAGAACCTGCAATAGCAAAATGGGTTAAATGGTAAATCAGAAAGCAGCACTCTACTAAAGGAAAGGTGAGAGCTCCTCATGTTTAACTAGTGGTCCTGATCAAGCACAGCTGCTTTTATGGGAGAAGACAGTGCTACAGTAATTCTCAGTTCTGTCTGTTCCCTCTTGCATTCCTGTAAGAGCAACAGTGATTCTTTATACCTTCTCTATGGATCTTGTACATATTTTAACCATATATAGAATATGTAAAATTTTATGCTCTCTTTTGCTGTCTTTGTGTCCCAACACTGCTTGTGCCAGATCTCAAAGTTGCATTCCTTCAGTGACCAGTAACTAACCATTTACAAATTGAGCTTACACACTTGACAGCCTCTGCTATCCTCCTGTGGCTGTATTTTCCCAAGTCTCCAGCACAGTATGTGTATACTGAATTTCTTTTCTCTTTCTGTAGATTAATGTTAGTAATAAAGGAGTATCATATATCAGAATTCGTAGCTATTTTTTCCATTTAGTTATAATCATCTTCTGAGTAGGGGACTTTGATAAAAGAATGTCCCTTTAATTATTGTTTTTCTCAAAAAAAAAGTGGGGCAGCATTATATTGATTCATACTTGATTTGTGCCTGACTTTCAAATAGTAATCTCTGATAAATTCTTGAAGTATAATAAACACTGAAAACTTGGAGGTAGATTGAAGCCAAAATTGGTTTATAAACCTGGTTTTACTCTAAATTAAACAGTTTACAAAGTAGCAAAATTTCATGGTATTGAAATTATACACATTTTGTGTTGAAGCACTTTGAAATGTTTCATATGGCAAAGTTATGAAAAACTATATAGAGTATATAGTAAAACATTCTGAGCTTTGTAATCTGAAAAAGCCTAGAGACATGAAAAATTTTCCACATAAGAAGTGTTTTCATTTAGTAAAATGCCAAAATATAGTACATGCAGAATGTAGGTATCTTTGGAAATCAATGAAATCACTAAATTGTTTCTTCTCTGCAGAAAGTGCACAGAAATTTTTCTGTATGGTTAAAAATGTCCTCTGGGAAGAAATATATCATCACCTTCCTCAGGACAAATCTGTAATCTGTAGCAGTCATTTCCTGATAAGTGAGATGCAGCCAGCTGTATCAACAGAGAGAGCCAACTCGCAAACTCTGAGCATAATGCTTATTCTTTGGGTTTTTCTGCTTCAGGAAGTAGCGTGGCACAATAGGAATGCATTTCTAGATTAAAACATTTGGTAGAGGCCTGAATAGCCACAGTGTGTTTATTTGGGGGTTGTTATTTCGGGTTGGTTGTAGTCTGATCCTTTGGGCTGAACGATTACTACCAGTTGGAGGATATTTGAGTTTCAGCCAAAAGGAAGTCTCTTTGGTTCTGAGCAATATGAACAGAGCAGTAAGTGGGGATCACTGGGAATTTCCCTACTAAGTGGACTCCTAACCCAAACGCAAAGCACAGAAGAGCAGAATGGTTGAGGCTGTTGGAAGGCACCTCTGGAGCAATCTGGTCCGACTCACCTGCTCAGGCAGGGCTGCCTAGATCCAGCTGCCCGCAACTGTGTCCAGATGGCTTTTGAATATCTCTAAAGGTCAAGATTCTACCACCTTGATGGGCACCCTCGTAGTGAAAAAGTGTTTCCTGATGTTCAGAGTGGACCTCCTGTGTTTCAGTTTGTGCCCATGGCCTCTGATCCTGTCACTGGGCACCACTGGGAATTGCTTTAGCCTCCCTTCAGATGTTTATACAAATTGATGAGATCCCCATCCGAGGCTTCTTTTTTGCAGGCTGAGCAGTCCCAGCTCTCTCAGCCTTTCCTCAATGGAGAGATGCTTCAGTCACTTAGTGGCCCTTCAATGGACTCTCTCCAGTACTCTCTTGTTCTAGAGAGCCCAGAACTCCAGATGGGGCCTCATCAGTGATGAGTAAAGGGGAAGGATCACCTCTCTCAACCTGCTGGATACCCTCCTCCTAATGCAGCTAAAGAAAACGTTATCCTTTGCCAAAGGTAGCTTAAACCACTGACTTCAGCCCTACCTTCTTGCATTCTCTGTTATGGTACCTGCATCTCATACATCTTCAGCATGGCATTGCTGCCTCCCTTCTGCTTGCTATCACCAAGCATGGGCCAGGGCTGGCGGACAGATCTGCTCCAAGGGTTCTCCAGCAGTCGGGTGCCCAGTCTATTCAGTGCACATCAATCTTACGACCCTTATACAAACGGATGCTTGTCACAAGACCTTATATTGCCATGTGTCAGTCACTTGAGTGGATGTGCTTTCCCATCATTGGGCTGTAAGCAAGAGAATTATGTCAGGGTTTCCAGCAGCCTTGAGAGCTCTCTAACAACTGGATGGGTTTTATGGGTTTAAGAAATCAATAAGATGAAAAGAGCAGCTGCTGGCCTAGAAGTTGCCTATTTTAATTCTTCTAACCTGAATAAACAAAACCCTAGCGATAGTACTTTCAATAGTTTCATGATATAGGATTTCTTACTGTGTGTGGGGTGGGATGGAAAGATTTGGTAGGACCAGATACAATTGTGATGGCTACATGCAGTGAAAACAAGCAAAATTATTCACCATTAACCTCAGTAACTTCTTATTTTATTATATTAGAAATATAACGTTAGCTATATATTGCATTAAATTGTAGTAATTTTTAACAAATTTGGTTTATTTATTTCAATATAGCATTGTATGTTACTACTAGTTGTCTTTTCACTACCGTCAAATGATTGTTACATGCAAAAATAGTTATGTGCCAAGTAAATCTGACAGCACTTTGCAGAAAGGCAAAAAACCTTATCTCCTTGTGCTTGATTGATTTGTCAGTGTTGCCAGAAAAGCTAGTTTTAGATCAGATATGAATCACGATATGTTTATGAATAACAGAAGTTTTCAGTCTTCCCTTGTGTAAGCTTTGAGTTTGAGAATCACTAATTGGAAATGTGGCATTCATAATTTTAGTTAGATTTTTGGTTTAGTCTAAGTAGCTTATTTATATAAAATCCTGACCGTTAATGAAAAAAGTTTTAATGCTATTTAAAAATAACCGTTACTTTAATCAAAATTGTATAGGATTTGATATTCTAATTTGAGTGAGTTTATGTAAAATAAAATATGTTTAATTTCTTCTTTATTTCTAGTGTGTCATATGCTTAGTTTTTTATTTTAACGTATTTATAGCTGTTTAGTGTGATAACTTTCTTTCAGATACTTTCTTCTGAAAGTTGTTAGCAATAATGCTGAAAGGAGGGAGAAATAATACTACATAAAATACCAAAAATTATTTTGACATGTTGATGTGGGGTAGAGCAAGTTAAAAAACCAAACAAACGAACAGCAGAAGTCTCACTGTTCAATAGCATTAAACTAATGGAAAATTAAACCCAATTTTTGCAGTTTCTATATTCTTTCTATACTTTCTGCATATTTTGTGGCAAGGATTTTGTCTAAAATATTTACTTTATAAAACTTGTGTTTGTTTTTTTTTTTCAGAGCACATTCAAATTTAAATCAGAGAGTGACATTCATCTGGCTGAGCACCATAAACAAGTGCTATACGATGGGAAACTTGCAAGTAGCATTGCTTTTACTTATAATGCGAAGGCTACTGATGCTCAGCTATGCCTTGAATCCTCACCAAAGGAAAATCCTTCCATTTTTGTACACTCCCCTCATGCTCTTATGCTTCAGGTTCGTGATACTAAATTGATGTTCTGTGATTACTGTTACCTCGACATTATTTGGAAGAGAGGACTTGTGTGCTACTGTACAAAGAGATGGTTATTCTGTATTATTTCAGCTTTTAATATACCTATCATTTGAACTGTTCTTTCCTTGCTCACTTTCTAGAGAAAAAAAATTGTTATTTTTTCACTAAGAAATATAAAGCATAATTTGTCATTATACTGAAGCTTTTCTGTTTAATGTTTGCCTTTTAGTACAGTGATTATAATTGAAACATAAATGATGAAACTGAGATAAAACAAGTCTGGTTAAGTTTGCACTCAATTCAGTGTGAAAGTGTTCCCAATTTAAGCTTGTAACTGTCCTTTTAAATTGAGATTAACTGAGTTTTTTCCTTTTTTTTTTTCTTAATTTTATTAATTACAGGACGTGAAAGCTATCGTAACCCACTCCATTCACAGTGCAATTCATTCCATTGGAGGCATTCAAGTTCTTTTTCCTCTCTTTGCCCAGTTAGACAATCGGCAGCTGCACGACAGTCAGGTGGAAACAACAGTGTGGTAAGCTTTTATCAAGCAAAATAAATACAAAATTAAGCTAAGGATATTTCCATTTGTGTTGTAGGAATGTTTGATTTGTTCTCCTTTGTAAATGCCGTGACTTACATTTTACCATTTTTTTGCTTGAAAATAGTACTTTTACAAAGTAGTTTACTGTAGAGATGTGTAATACAATTTACACATCTTGTGAGATTCCAGATGGAATTGGCATAAAATTGATTGGATTAAATAATGAATTCAAATCACTCTGAAGTCTAAGGGTAGTTTTGTGACATTCTTGCAACTTTTAAGAGAAACCAATGTGCTTTTACTTGACAGAGCAATGTTGCTTACTTTCTCAAAGTCTCTCATTAGAATTAATATTTAATAATATTTAAAATTAATGAAAGATATCTATTGCATATTCATGCATGATCAGAAAGTCATAGAGATATGTTCGGTTATTTCAAGGCCATGTTACAATTGCAACAGTAACTGGGGACACACCAAGAGAGTTTTAAACAGGGATGCACAAAGTCTCTGCTCTGATGCTGTGGAAGTAACCCGTAGGTTGAAAAAGGACTGCACAGAAATTTGATGAATGATTTCGCATGTAACCTCCAACAGACTGCTTAGGTGTCTGTCAGTACCCATGATGACTTATCAAAGCTAGCTCAGGTCTAGTTATTTTTGCAAAGAATATCTCTTACCATCAGCTTGTCAGGGAAGGCTCCTATTCTGGTGGCAACACCAGATGTCTAAACTTGTCAAAACAAAATGTGTGGCCAAAACCTTTGGAAGTAACAAAACTGAAAAGGTGATACTGAAGAAGTGGCTCAGTGTAACCAAAACCTGGTAGAAAACAATGTTCTAGCAGCATGAGCTGACTCTTGTATTTGAATAGATTTTTAATATAGCTGCATAATTCAGAGTACATAGCTTATTTTCCTGCTTAGAATACTCTTCTATTAATTATTATGGATGTTTCCTATTGCACTAGATAATTCAGTAATAAATTATTTAACTGAAAAAAAATTTTAGTATTATTTAGTATTATGTTAGTATTATTTAGTATTATCTTGACAATAATTTTGGAAAAAAAAACCAAAACAAAAACTCAATGTTATACGTTGGTACAATTTCTCCTGAAAGATCATTTGTCTCAATCTAATTTAAGAAGTTAATCAATTTGGTGAAATTTTGTCAGTCATATGCTTTTTCCTTTTAGTAACTCAAATATATGTAGTTAAGATGGATGCTGTTTTTTATTTCTGTAGTGTGAAAAGTTAATGCTTTTCATGTTTTAGAGGTTATATTAGAAGTAATACTACAGTTTTAAAAATAACAAATTCTACTTCCAAACAGTATAGTGGTGCAAATTATTTCATACATTGTTAAAGACAGAAAAGCCGGTTGTGTATTGTGTAATGTTCATGTGGGATATTTACCTTTTTGTGTCTGTTTTCCAGTATAACCTTTGCATTGAAGTATTGTGTCGTACTGGGGATAGAAAAAACCAATACTTTGTTTGAAATAAATTTGGAAAAAAAAATCCATGTATGGTTTTATTTACTGGCACAGCAGTAGGCAAAAATACTGTATTTGAATGTAAGGAAAATTGTATATGTATGTGCCCATACATATGAATAAAATATGTGTTAAATTCATTAATGAGCTGAGTATATAATAAATGATAATGCAGTAACTAGGCCTGTTGAAAAAATGCAGAGCTAATGTAATGTAAGTTTTGTAAGTCCAGATAAAGACTGATTCTTCCCAAGTGTGTGGTCTTTCCAGTGAATGAGAACATTCATGAAATTCAATTTAAAATGTACAGAACATTTCTGGAGTTACTTGAACTGTAAGAAGGAAAAAAATGTTCTTGAATAAATCAACACATTTCTTCTATAATTAGATTATATTATAAAAAGAGATCTGAAATTCATTATGCTGTATGATTGTACAAATGTATAATACAATGAGATGTGATCCTAACTCAAGAACATATTCAAAAGATTTTTAAGCAAATGGCTGCTGGATGTGACTTACATGTTGAATTGCCATAGTTTTAGTGTATGTGCATTATTTTGTTGTATTTAATCTAATTGGATATAGATGCTGAGAAAAATAGTGGTTTAGGTAGGCAAGAAGTAGGCAAATAAAGGAATGCAAGATTTCTAGAGGCAAAGAATAGAGATAATGGGGAAAGGGGGCTAAACATGAAAGACAATGCTACGTTTAAAATACAGTTGTGGAATGGAATAAGGGAAGAAGCCTTTCTTTCTTACCCTTGTTTTTTAGACTATTCTCTCTTTGTTCATTTCCAAAATGCAGTTGTTGAACTGTACCTGATACTTCTGATGTATCTGATGATCTGTATGATACTTTTATACCCTGCTTACCCATGAAATTGTAGCTACAGCAGCAACAGAGTGCTGCACCACTGCTTTCTGAAAAGGAGTTGGTGTTCAGCCATTATGATTATGTATTTTTATAAGCAGTTGTTCTTTATGTCACTTTGCCAAAACTCAAGCATCTAGATGGCACTTGATGACAATAGGCCATTATGTTTGTAAAGCCTTACTATGGAGTTTATTTCTTTCTGGTGGCCAGCTGAGGAGACTCTCAAGTTGTCCATTGAGTAGCTCTGCTGCTTTTTGTCTTTATGTGTTCCTGGGAGGTGGGAAGTATAAATAGCTGATTATCCCAGTGTAAGTGCTCTAGGTTTGCAGACTACTTCTAAGTATCCTTCTCACCTCCTTCTCTACTGGGCATATCAAAATCTCTGTAATAAGTTCAAGAGTCTCAATTATTTGTTTGTTTATTTAACATTAGAAGGGGTTTGTTGACAGGAGTATGAGAGAACACGTTTTTTAATCATCTTGATCTGCTTCCAATTTTAATATTTTCTAAATTAATAGATCTGTTGTAAATAACTTTAAATTATAAACCTGAGTGATGTGAATATTGCAACTTTCTGCTTTAATGGTATTCTTTGTAAATGTTCTTATTCCTATAGTATTGTATATTCCTGTGTGCCTTCTCTACATCTTCCATGAAACTAAGTATTGAAATAACCTACAGTTCTGCTTTTGAAGCACTGTGTGGATTCTCATGCTCTCATACACTGAAATTAAAGTAATGGAAACTGAGTGAATATCTTAAGTATATTTTCTTAGGTTAAGTGATGCACCTGTTACTCGAGAGAGTGGTTCTTCAGCTTGAACGCCAAGACTGCTACTTTTCATCCTGCTTTTCACTACTCTGATTAGAATAGAAAATTTATCAGTTTAGGTCAATAGGGTGTTTATATAATAGAAAGAAATATAGAGTGCTTGTGGTGGGTTGACCCTGGCTGGATGCCAGGTGCCCACTTAAAGCCACTCTGTGATTCCCCTCCTCAGCTGGACAGAGAACAGAAAAATATAACAAAAAGTTGAGATAAGGACAGGGAGAGATCACTCAGCAATTACCATCACTGGCAAAACAGTCTCAACTCAGGGAAAATAGTTTCTTTTATTAGCAATCATATCAGATTAGAATAAGGATAAATAAAATTGAATATTAAAAACACCTTCACACCCCCTTTCCCCCCCCCCCCCTTTCTTTCTGGGCTCAACTTCACTGCTGATTTATCTACCTTCTCTCCCTGAGCAATGCAGGCTGGGGAGGAATGAGGATTGTGGTCAGTTCATCACACATGGTCTCAGCCACTCCTTCCTCCTCAAGAGGAGGACTCCTCAGAGTCTTCCCCTGCTCCTGTGTAGGGTCCCTCCCATGGAAGACAGACCTTCATGAACTTCTCCAACATGAGTCCTTTCCACAGGCTGCAGTTCTTCATGAACTGTCCCAACATGGGTCCTTTCCACTGGGTGCAGTCCTTCAGGAACAAACTACTCTAGTGTGAGTCCACCATGGGATCACAAGTCCTGCCAACAAACCTACTCCAGCATGGACTTCTCTCTCCATAGGTCCACAGGTCCTGCCAGCAGCCTGCTCCAGGGTAGGCTTCCTACATGGTCGCAGCCTCCTTTGGGCATCCACCAGCTCTGATGGGAGGTCCTCCACGGGCTGAAGGTGGATATCTGCTCCACCATGGATCTCCATGGGCTGCAGGTGAACATATTCTCTCTTCTCTCCAGCTGCAGTTTTGATTACACAGGTTTTATTTCCCCTTCCTAAATTCATTATCCCAGAGATGCTACCACTGTCATTGGTGGTCTCAGCCTTGGCCAGCAGTGGGTCCATCTTGGAGCCAGCTGGCATTGGCTCTATCAGACATAGGGGAAGCTTCCAGCAGCTTCTCACAGAAGCCATTCATGTAGGCCCACACTACCAAAGCCTTGCCACACAAACCCAATATAGTGCTTTTTCCTGTTATGATATTGTTGTTACCTTTGATTATACAACATACGTAATGTGGTAGGGAGGACCTGCTTTTTTCACCTGTGGTCTCTCATATATGTTTTTGAATTTATTTGGGTCTACAGAGCACCGACAGACTGATTTTGACAAGGTATTAGGTGTGCTATCTTTGACATCGACCCAATTCCATAACAAAATAAATAACAGGTGTTAATGCACATGATTGTTGCTTTGGACTGTACCATTCTGGGTAAATATTTGAAGGTAGAAGGAGCTGCAGCTGTTTACTTAAATAGATTAAGGCATTCCAAGAATTCTTTTACATACTTATTCTAGAATTTACTGACTGGATTTGCTAGGTTGCGTATAGTATGCAATAAAAATTAAAAATAATTTTGTTGTGTATCGTACCAAATAAATGCATGCCTAGGCTAGTCTTGACTTTCTTAAGGGTGATATAGGCACACACCTGAAATTTTTATCAAAGTAAATGTAAGCATCTTTTCAATCAAGGTTATTACTGATGTTTTCACTCTTTAATATAGGTAGCCCTGCTACAGCATATGTTGCCTTACAGAGTGCTCTTGTAAGTCAGTGAAATGGAAACACTGATGAGGGTGATGATAATATTTCAGTTCCTGTTCATCTTCTCTTGT